ATTTTAATCCTCATTGATCTGTCTTAAACATGACCACATGCTTGCTCCACAAATATCAACTAAATATTGAAGCAAAAATGGCCTCCCCAAATCTAGAATGGTTACATAGGAATTATGAATATCAAGTAAAATTGCTGTCAGTTTCACATTGTGCTTCAGAGTGTGTCTATACTGAAACACTTCTGCTGAAATTTTACATGTAAAACCGTAGTGAATCAAATAAACTTTAAAAGAGAAAACAGTTATTCGAAAAGGATGAGAGATTAGTTGTGTACAAGCTACTAATTTGTTTGCTTCTATTTTATTAACAAAGAAAAACATATACTGTCACCCTGTATAGATCCTTACAAATCACTTACTAAAATTCAATACCCAATCTTGACTTAAAGAATAAAGGGACTAATGAAAAAAATTTAGGGAGCTACGACTAGAAAGAAGTCGTTTTAACCTGATAAAGTGCTTCTATTAGGAACCCACAGGAAGCATAAATACCATTTACACATATGCATGTACACACACCATATCTCTCACATACACACACACACACACACACACACACACACACACACACATACACCACTCACTCACATCACCCCACAAACAAATGTACACACACAGCACATCGTACACACACATACACACATGCACACTCAAACACTCACACTGGTACTCACACACACTGAGCAAACATTCCTGTCAAGTCTCTAAACTCACTCTGATTATCTGATTCTACTTTACACAGCAGAGTTGATGCATTCCAAGAGCCAAAGTCATTTAACTTTAAAAAGAAAACTTAGTTTTCTTCTTAAAAAGATGAACCAGAAGAAAATTATCCTATAAGTAACTCAAATTCAGAATAATAGCAAGATAACTTACTCAGGGTGGCAAATGGTGCTGGGCAGATTTATATACCAATAAACCAACATGTTCATAAACCCACCCACGTAAGAATAGAAAGGAGTTTAGTATCTAATAAGGTTGCATTCCAAATTAATATGGAAGATGGAAAAGTCAAGTATTAATAATATTTTTTTTTGTTTTTCTCAAGATATGTTCTTCTACCTCATATACTATGAATGAATAGGGCATTTTCAATCATTTTTTCTCAAAAGGCTCTAGAAGAAAATAAATGAGATGAAAAGGACACACACATTTAAAAAAAACAGAACAAAACAAAAACAAAAGGAAGACAGAATGGGGTTATATGACAATAAATTAAAGTATTTATGCCTCTGTTTATGTGTGTTGATGTGTTTGTGGGACTAACAGGTACTTCTATGTGAGGGTGCCAGGGGTTAGCCTCAGAGTCAGTATCAATCACTTTCCACCTTTGACTTGAAACAGGGTGTCACATTGTTCCTGGAGGTCACTGACCGAGAGCTCTTGGAGGACCTCCTGTGTGCCTCCCCATTTCTGGAATTACAAAGTATGCTAATATTTGGTGCTTTTTAGATGTGTGTTAGGGCTCTAAACTCAGGTCCTCAAGACTCTGCAGTAAACACTTTATCAGCTAAGCAATCACGTCAGTCCCATCAAAACATGTTTTATGGTAAAAGATATCAAGATCAAAGGAAAAACACACGCAATGATTTACAATGTTACAATACTCTTCTAAAAATAACATAAAAACAAACAAAGGGAATACTGGCAAAGGACAAATACATTCAAAATAAAAAGATACAAATGGGTCAAAACATAAACAAAATAAAACCTTCAATCAAGCTCAGGTCCCATTTGAATGGGAAGGAGAGAAGCAAAGTGTAAAGCAAGAAATTCATTCATTCAGTACTGCATAACTACGAAGTGCATGTGGCATGAACACGTGCACGAATGGCTGAGAAAAACTGGACAGAACAGGCAGGGCCATTTAGATTTAAGCCCTGTATGTGTGCCTGGGAACTAGAGAAAAAGGATGGAGATAGATGAGGGGGCTGAATTCGTTTTCAGTAAGACTTGCCTTTAGAAACAGACGTAAATATAAATAATCGGGATCTCTTCACCCTTAAAATCTCATCCGAACATGTGACTCAGTAGCAAGCATGACACAGAGATGGAGCTCAGGGTGCCCACGACCCTTTGAAGATTCCTACAGGCTTTATAAAGACAGCATTGGCTAGATAGCCCTGGCTGGTCTTAAATCAACCACCTCTTGCCTTGTCCACGTGAGTGGCTGGAGTTACACACGGCTTGAGCATCTACCACCACGCTTAGGTCATGGAAACTTTTGACAGAGAATGAGCCAGTCTAAAGTCATCACTCAATAAATAAATATGAACATTTATCCTTTTATGTCGTTTTTATTTTTAACCATATGAAGCTGATGCTTTTTCCAGGTTGGGAAAAAATTACGTGAGCATTCTGTCCAAATATTGTAGGATTTTTTAAAATGAGGATTAAATCCAGGGCCGTGTGCATGCCAGGCAAGCACTCTGCCAGCTGAACTACATTTCCAGCCCTAGGGTTTACTGTTAGTTTTAGACTTCTGAAGTTGTATTTTATCCTGCTGAAAGCATTATTCTGCTAAATATTATCATTATCAATACTTTTAACTATAAATGTATGCATATACATATATATTCATATATACATATACACTATGCAATTATATATACAAATATATATACATACCACTGGTGTTCTTAGTGGTACTTTAAATTACAAGCAACACGCTACTCCTCTAATCTAAGAGGAGACACTTTCAGACGCTCAGCACTAGAGCATCACTGGTGTACTCAGTGTGAAAGACAAAACATTTAGTAAGTTCACTCCACGTTCTCTCTGGGGGGTAAAGACCAAGATATACTGCCTACTAGCAAACACTCTTAGCCTCAGACTCATACTCCTCAGAAGGGGCTCAATTTTGACAACTACTCTAAAAAAAACTTTTTTAATAGACTGCAGTTAAGTCACTTTGGTTCAGTGCATTTTAAACAGTGGGTTTTGTTGTTATTGTTGCTTTGCTTAGAACTTATGTCTCCAGACAACATAACCCATGGACAGTTGTGTAAACTGAACAAGCATTACTATTGTCAGTGTTCATTCAAGTGTTAGTATCGATCATGGACAATAAAATGCAACGGATGGATGCTAAAATATGCATTTCAGAAATAAGGTTTCAATGTGAAAGAGAAATTTTTCTCAAAAATAAAATGTCAGTATTAATTAGATCATTGTGTCCCTCAACTGCCATCATAGAAGTGTCTATTTGAAGTATATGGAAACTAACACAGAGATGGACAACTGGTCAAGGTATAGAGCATGAGAGACTATGGAATCCCCAGCCCTGAACGGGACACCTGTATCATGCCCCCTCTTCCCAGGACTCAGGGATCATTGCAAAGGAGGGGACTTAGAGAGTGTGAGAGCCACAGACGGCAGTGACTACAAAGAAATAGTATGTACTACGAACTGACAGGGACAGCATGCACAAGACCTGTGCAAGATGAAGCCAGACCAAATTCCAACATGGAGAGAGGAGGTGGGTGGGAAGTCCCACCGCTAGCTGAAGGAGCATTTAGCAACTGAAATGGGGAGGGTCAGTGTAGCTCCTTGTGCGTCAACCACCCTCCAGCGGAAGTCCATCCCCTCAAGAATATATAGACAGCATTATTTAGACTTGATGGGTATAAAAAAGAAAGAAAGGAAGGAAGGTAGACTATATTTGGAAGTAGCTGATGAAGGGGGTAAATATGATCAAGTGCGATGTATGAAAGTTTCAAAGAACTAATAGAACTTTTGGATATGACTGAGGTTTAATAACTTTGCAATATTTTTTCTCTCCTAAAATGGATGATATACTATTTTATTAGAATTATAATACTAGCCACCTTCTTAAGTGAGAAAAACAGCAATATATCTAATTAATATATTTAAGGGCCATTTTTTTTATCCATTCATCTTATTTATAAAGAAACTGGAAAGACAGATCAGAAAATGTTTATCAAGCTCTTCAGGGAAATGAATTGCTCTTAAATTACTAGTAATCACAGATGTCACTGTCATACATTAGCCCTTTGGTTTGTCGCAGATTTGCTGTCGTGAAAAACCCCCTCTGACCAGTGCTCATGAGAGTCTCCTTGTTGAGCTTTTCTATCTGCCTCACACTATAGGCGATTAGAGCAAATGCTTCCCAACGATTAAGTTAATTTATAGAAAATGGAATCAATTCCCCTTGTTTCGCTGTGATTGAACATTTTCCTGAGCTGCTGTAAATGAGCAACAGATAAGCACCGTTTATCAGATCATTGGGTAGAGCTTGCAGTTTTGATGTTTCTGTTTCCTTGTAACTATTAATGAAGTATATACCATGCCTCAAGAAAAAAAAAATAATTTCAGACGTTGGCCCCTGAGCACGCAAGATACAAGGAATATTTTGCTGCGAGTGTATGCTACAATCTGTTGGTCAGACCCCATGCCCTGCTCTATACTGTTGCCAGAGTCCTGGATCTCCTCTTGAAGACACATCCTGTGTTTTTCAGAATGTTGCGAGATTGTTTAGGTCACACTAAGGTACCTCAACACGCTCAATGCAACAGAGCCATGGGACAGCTCACCTCTCTGGTGTTGTAGGATTTGGGATATTTAGTTGAAGAGACTATTTGATGCCATTGTCCCTCCAGGCCAAGCCATGGATATGCCCACCAGGCCTGATCTATGCAAGCTGAAAGCAGGAAACAAAGTCAAAGGCAAGTGTGCTGAAGCGTTTTGTTGTTGTTGCTGTTGTTTTGTTTTGTGACATTCGAGTTTTCGAGAATTCGTTTTTTTCCCCCCAGATCTACAAGAGGGAGAGAATTGTGTGCAATGTTTCATATATAAGCATCTCTCTTTCCTTTTCGAGCAGGTTAGTCACAATTACACCTGTGAGAGGAAATGGGAAGACAGGATGAGCAATGCCCCTTTCCCAGCTTCTGAAGCTGGGGAAACAAAAACTAGACTACTTTGAGGAAGTCGGATGGGTGGAGGCCGGAGAGCTGACCTGGAGGCACCAGCCCATCACTTACCAAGGTCCATGCTCTTGGAAGCTTTCAGGTTAATTAATTCAGGCTGCCTGGCGGGTGTCACAGATCTGAAGTTGACATGTTGATCTGGAAAATATACTGTAGAATCCACTCCAGAGCTGTGTGAAAAGAAAATATATGTTATATTGAGGTCTAGAGCAAAAGGTAGACTGGCAGGGAGGGAGGAAGGAAGGAGAAGAGAGGAGGAGGGAGAAATACTATGAATGAATATGAATATATTTTTCTCACTTTGCACACATTCCCTCACCATTTTCTCTTCAGGCTACAGCCATATATTTTAAACCTGGTCTTGATTCTCAGACTTCATTTACGGACTGTAAGGATTCTGGCTTATGTATTTTGTTTCGAAGTAAAATGTAAGTAAAACACACTTGGGCAAATTGCACCTTTTGTTCTTCAGTGGTTTTTGCTAATTGGGATCCTTCTGCATCATATATAACTTCAGGTGAGTGGCGGGGTGCTTGGGAAGCCCCAACACTTCAAAGGATGTTTCTAGATACTAGCAGAGCCCAAAGTGGGCTAAGAAATTCCTAGGGAATAAGTGGGCCCTTTTAAAGAGCAGTGAGAGTGATGTCTCCTTAAAGGAAACCATCTTAAATGACTGACGGCTGCAGGAGACTGAGTTTTACCTTTTTAGGTGATCTTCAAAGAGTAATGTTAATGCTGAGCCGAGAGTCTGTCCATCAATAATGCCAAAAGGAAGCCACAGGAACAGCACAGTTGACACTTCAGACACAAATACGTTAAATACCCTTTATGGATTTCTTAGTACTTGAGGTCAATCTAAAGAATTTTGCTTTTACTGAGTACTCTGTTTTGTTTGAGGATTCAGTACAAAGGATTATATGAAGAAATTTTAGACAATGGCTTATTTTCATTTAGAAGGATGTATGTATAAACTTTCAATAAATTAAGTTGCAACTGCCTTCGTTTTGTCCTTGGGTTTGCTAAAGTGTATAGATGGCGCTCATCTCAGCATGATTTCTGTCCTAAACTCAGATCAGATGAAAAATCAGGATCCTTAGACAATCAGAAAGGACTGAGGTCAGGCTTTCAAGAGTTTAGTATTTTAAACAATAAAACAGCAAAAGCAACCTTAATCTTGAACAAGGATCCCTCTAAAATGCAAAGAACCTCAACTTTTAAACTAAATACACCAGCAAGTTTAATTTTTTTCTTCAAACTTTTCATTGATATTTAACATTCCATGTCAAGAACGGGAAATTGCAATCTTGCTGAATGAATGAAAGAACCTCCTACTATTACAACCCAGTGGATTAGAAGCAGAATTATCTCCTGATAGGCACCAGGTTCGGCGCGCAAGAGTCAGGTTCATGGAGCACAATGGACCGGTGTACGTCCTGACTCTGGTGCTTGGCAGGTCATTGGGCCACTCTGCACTTCAGTGTCCTTTTACACAAAAGGAGTATCATTGTATTGCCTGCCCATAGGCCTCGGTTATCTCATCTATAAAACACGTAGTAAGGGACTACTCTGTGATGCCATTGCAAAAGTTTAAATAAACTCAGATATCCAAAATACTGAGAATAGTGCCTACCGCATGGTAAGAACTCAATGTTAGTCATATTTTAATATTAATAAGCTCCATTTCTGTGGGTCAGGGTGGTCTTGGAATGAGGGCTCAGGGTTCTCTCATTGTAAAGATTATACCCATTTTCATGAAGACTATGCAGATAGCTTGAGTTTACTCTTTAGTGTGACAAAGCTTCTAGCGGTTTCTTTCTAGGAATCTGAGTGCATTGTCAATGGAGAAGGCTTCAATGTCAGGCTTTAATGTCAGCGAGACACATGACTTTCACAGATTCAAGAGGAGGCAGAAGGGACTAAATGTTTTCCATCTATTAAATAAGAGTCTGAGGCTCAAAGAAGAGGACCGATGGTCCAAGGTCACACCACACTCAAGGGCAAAGCCTGGACCCAAGTCACAAGCTTGGATTAGAATACTGGCTTGAACATACAAACAGTAAAGTATTTTCCTTATGAGTTGATGATCTGATCAGTCTCCTAAGTAACTTGATCTTAGGTTTGCTTTTGTTTCAACAGACTAGTAGATGTGATGCAACAAAAGAAAGCCAAGTAGTTGATCAAAGCAGATGCTGTACATTTTAATGACAGCCTTCAGGAAAGATGTTTAGGACCAACATGCATATTCCTCTTCCAAGCAAAGATTTCGCCGCATTTAAAGCACTTTGCTCATGGCAGATGATGGGAATCTACCCCACTGATGAGTATGTTGGTTAATCCAACTCAGCCTCTTAGATTATCTTTTCAAACTTGGCAATAGTTGGCATGCCAAGAATAAGAGGTCAAGTTGTCTAAACTTTCGGGAAATAATCATTCTTACCTGCCACTATTCTGCAAACATATGATGCAATACCAAGTTAGGATCTGCTCAAACAAAACAAATTTATTTTTATAAAAATATTAGGGTATAATTGAGGCAACATAGGATAAATGAAAGCTGCAATGTACACATGAATGTTGCAAATCATTTACACATATGTACATATGTCTGATTACATCCATTAATTTGATGCTATATACATCTGTTACCATCATTTTGAATGTGTCCAAATGCACAGTTTGAAAACATTCATTAGTAGGATCCCTATTGCCATCTTACAACCTGGAAATACAAAAATAAATCTGGAGTCAAACTGGCAGATATTTAGGGAGGGACGTGAGGGTAATGTAAGACATGATAGGATTAGAGCCAATGTCAGCAGATAGCACGCTGAAATAACGAGTGTACTATTGAATTAGTTAATGTGAAAATATTTTAGCCATGTAAGTTAGATGGGTAGAAATCATTTGCAATTTTATGCTACACACTGAAAGCATTTGGAGTGAGGGTGACACAATCATTAACTATAAAATATGACATATTTTAATTTTGAAGGAAGTTAGCATGTGCTCATGGCTGAGTGGGCTGCAGTTGAGGCTGTGGGAAGCTGGAAGCTGACAGCAGGCCAAAGACATGTCCTAGATAAAGGCCGTGTTTTCAGCATGAACAACCAGGGAATCTCTCAAATGGAAACGATCGTCTTGTCAAATTATCCTGCATAATGAATAAATAAGGGCAGCAAGAAACATATGCCGCTGTCCTGAGAAATGGTGACAAACCAGGAATATGAAAGACACAGAGGAGTCAACAGTGGATCTCAAGGAGAACTATCTGAAAGTAAAAGTCAGGGAGGAAGATCTGAAAGGCCTGCCAAGAAAATTGCTGGAAGAATCGTGGGTCTGGGGGTTGTATGGATATGACTGAGAAAATATACAATAAAGGAATAAACAAAATGCTGTCTAAATTGTTAGTAATATTGTCTTACCTAGGGTTTCTATTGCTGTGATAAAACACTATGACCAAAAACAACGGGGGGAAGAAAGAGTTTATTTCATCTTACAGCCCATAGTCCATCACCCAGGGAGCTGATGTAGAGATGGGGGTTGGCGGGTGATGCTTACTGGCCTCCCAATAGCTTGTTCAGTCTGGTTTTGGGGGAGTGGGAGGTTGGTTATTGGTTTTTCAAGACCAGGTTTCTCTATGTATCCTTGGCTGTCCTAGACTAGCTTTGTAGACCAGGCTTGCCTTGAACTCACAGCAATCTACCTGCCTCTGCCTCCCTGAGTTCTGGGTTTACAGGCCTGACTCTCATTCTGATTTATTATAGCAGCTGGAACCACTTCTCCAGGGGTGGAACTATCCACAGTAATCTGGGCCCTGCCATATGAAGAAAATACCTCCATGGACTTGCCTACAAGATAATCCTATGGAGGCATTTTCTCAGTTGACAGTCTCTCTCTCTAAATAACTCTAGCTTGCATCAGTTGACAAAAACTAGCCAGCACAGATACTCAACATATTTTGTTATTGTTTGGCTTTAATCACTCATTGAGGCTTCATAGCAAAAAATACACTTCCCATATATTTTGTTTTTATTCATACACATATTCTAAATTTCTCTCTTATGTTATTTCATTGATATAACAGAAACAAATTCTGGTTTCAGGTTATTTCAAAGACTAGGCATTAACTTTGATTAAATTTAGTCCCCCCCTTTTATATAAAAGAGCTTTTGTATAATGAAAGGCTCCACCCCTGAGAACACACATATTCCTTGTGGAGAGCATGTCCATGTTTGCTTTGAAAGGCAGGGGGACATCCTTCCCTGCTCAACCTCTCTGGCTTCCTTCCAGTCCTTCCCCTATCCTCACACATCCAAATCCCACTGCTGCTGGTCACCTAGGCAACACAACAGCTTGCAGGATGGTACAGGTCACAGGTTCCCTGGAGGGGTGAGACTTGCAAAGCATTAAAAGACTTGTTTTATCCATCTCAGAAATGTCCCTGTCCTTTTCACCCATATAACTTCTCCTTTATTTTAGACCCCGTGACTCTCGTGCCAAACCAACCCCACTGGCTATAGCTTCCCCATCCACACTTAAAATTGCTCAGAGTTTAACAGTCTCATTCCTGGCATTGAAATGTTCAGTGTTTCTCCACCGCTTTCCAGGGAAGCAAGGTGCTCATGGAACATGGAAGGAAACTTGCCATGGATTCTTCCTTCAGATACCAAAGTTTCAGCCACACCAAACAGGTTTCCTCCCTCTCTCATTAATACTTTTCTTCTGTAGCTTCCTTGACTCATGCCCCCTCCCCATTTTCTATGAAATTGCTCTTCCTCTGATGTAACTTTCCTTCACCTTGCAGACAGACAGAGCTGGGATTCAGTCTTCTAGGCCACCTAAGCATTTTGTATTGATCTCTCTCTCTCCTAATTAGTTGTGTGTTCATCTTCTTCAGAGAGAAATACATTTTTCTTTAGTTTAAAATGTTTTTGGAACTGGGCATGGTGGCATATGCCTGTAACCCCAACTCTCAGGGAGGCAGAGGCAAGTGGATCTCTGTTAATTCGAGGCCAGCCTGGTCTACAAAGTGGGTTTAGGACAGTCAAGGCTACACAGAAAAAAGCAAAAACAAAAATAAAGCCCTGTCTCAACAAAACAAAACAAAGCAAAAATGTGGGTTTTTTAAAAATTAGGTTATAAGGAGTTAGGTTTTATTTCTGGCATTTTTCAAACAAAATATTTGGTTATTATCTCCCCACCTCCTCCTCAATCCCCTGTACTATACTACTCTATGGCCCCTTCCACTTTCGTGTCACATGTTACTTTTGTAGCTCTCATCCATTTCTCAATACCTACCGCTCCCCTCTTTGAGTTGCCTGTCTATTTTCATAGTGTATACCTACTCACAAACCAACCCCTTATTTACATATATACAAACATTGAAAGTTAAGATCTGGCTATGAGAGAGAACATGAGTTTTGTTTTTCTGAGTTTGGGTCAACTTACTTAATATACCTTCCAGTTCAACCCATAAACCTGCAAGTTTCCTAACTCTGTCTTCTGGAAAGCTGAGTAAAATGCATATATACTCATATGTGAAACGTTTTTCACTATCTACTTTTGTGTAGATGGGTATCTAGCTTGGTTACATTCCAGGACTGGTATAGCTGTGTTATATCATAGTTCTAATTTTATTTCTCTGTTTTTATGGCTCTATAAATTTTTGAAAGCATTTTCTTAATTTTTGAGATTGTAATTTAATGATAACATTTCTCCCTTCCTTTTTCTCTCTCCAAACTCACCCATACACTGCTCTCTACTCTCCTTCAAATCTTTTGTTCTCTGGTTAGCTTTGCATGCATTTATCTACATACCTACATATCCCTAAATATAGCCTGTTGAGTCCATATCATGTTATGTTTTTTTCAGGCCTGGCCATTTGGCACTGCACAACCAGCTGGTCTGCTCTTCCCTCGGGAAGAGCACATCTCCCACTCCAGGCTCTCTGCAGTTCCCTTTGTGCAAGGCTGAAGCCTTTTGGACCTTCTTATCCACTTTGACGAGTTCACTGGTGTCCTCCTTGTCCAGCTCATGTTTGGGCAAGCATGTTGGTGAGACTTTATGGATGTAGCTTTTGATATTACCAGAGACACAATCTCACAGCAAACTGGCTGATCATCTGGCTCTTACAATCTTTCTGGCCCCTCTTCTACAGTGTTCCCTAAGTCTTACAGGCAGGAGAGTTTTGTAGGTGTATCCGTTGGGACTGAGATCCATAACTCTGTATTTGGATTGGTTGTGATTTTCTGTAGTGGATTCCATCCCTTGCAAAGAGGAGTTTTCACAATGAGTTCTAAAGGTTACACTAGTTTATATTTCTCTAGCAGGGGGCAGGGGTTTCTCATTCTCCACAGCCTTGCTATCACATCTCATTTGTTTTCTTGAGAGTACTCACATTGACCTGCGTGAGATAGAATCTTGGGCAGCTTTAATTTACATTTTCCTGGTGGCTAGGAATATTGAACATTTAAGAATTATTTACTGGCTGTTTTTTTCCTTTTTTTTTTTTTGAGTACTGTTTGTTCATTTCATCAGCCTAATTATTGATTAGGCACGTTATGATTTTCGTCATTAATGTTTGCAGAACTTTGTATATGGTAGATATCAATGTATTCTACATACCAAGCCCTGTCTGGGACAGAGCTGACTGAGAGTCTCTCCATTCTGTAGGCTGTCTGTTCTCTCTGCACAGTTTTTCTTGCTGCTCAGAAACTTTTTAATTCCATACATTCCCATTTGTCGATTCTTGGGACAATTTTCTGTGCTGCTCAAAAAATGCTTGCCAATGTCATAACTCTGCTTTCCTCTAGCAATCTGAGTGTCTCAAGCTTTAAATTAAGGTCTTTGACCTGTACTGAATTGACTTTTGAGCAGGGTGAGAGATGTGTATCTAAAATCCTTCTTCTTGTATATTCCATTTTCTTAACATCATTCGCTAAATAGATTCTTTTTTTTTTTTAGTATATGTTCTTAATGCCTTTGTCAAAATTAGGTGGCCACAGACTTGTGCTTTTATTTTGGTATTCTCTATTCTATTCTTTTGTCTACATGTTCGTTTTGGTCCAAGTGCCAATCTGTTTTTGTTTTAGTTTTGTTTAACATTACGGCCTTGTAGTCTAATTCAAAGTCAGGTACTTGGACACTTCCTGAAGTGCTGTTTTTGGTAATCTGTTTTCTACTGAATTCATCTTAGTGTCGTCTCAATGGAATTATGCGGTATACATAGGAGGACATGTAAGGTAGAGTGAATGCAACTGCTTAACATACTGATTTTTCTGTACATTATCAAATTAATTTTGGATTCAGGATCAAGACAGACAATATAGATAAATGAGCAAAACTAACTACATTTGTCTGCTTGTCTTAAAAAGGCCCTACCAGTGCTGGTCTAGAATACTGTGGCTTCCAGTATAGTTCGTGATACTGTTTTGAGAAAAATAACTGATTTCAAAAACTAAAAGGCAGAGGTAGTTCAGCAGATGCCAGCTTCCCTCTGACAGAGTTGGCTCCACTCTTGTGTAGGTTTATTTTTAGCAGATTGTATTAAAAAGCATAGTAGAAATGACACCAGCATTGTTGCAAGAAAAATGAAGAAATTTCACAGGATTATCAAGGGAAAGAGAGTGGAATAAAATACACAGCTTTTTTTTTTAACAGCCATAATAAATACAGAAAATAGCAACGAGACAATTTAATGATTTTTAAAACTCATCAGAAGAACAAAATCTATGAATTCTCCTAGTTAAATAGTATGTATGCTTAGTAAATCTTCCTCCCTCATGCTTGCATGAGTCGAAAAGTTATTGATTTTCTAGTTTCTATTACAGAGCGGCTATAATATTAGGTACCCTTTTCAATATTTTAGATTATATGGTGTTGCTTTAATTTTTAGGTTCCATTAACTTTCTTGGAGCATCTATTTTTAAAATACCTTTCGGGTTTGCCAATTATAAAGAAAAGCTGAGGCTTTATGCTTTCCGGATTTTATTTTGTTCCTTCCTATGTTAGTTTTCTTTGAGTTCTGCTACTGTGGTCTTTAAACTTGTAAGAGAAAAAAGAAAAGAAAACAAACAAACAAAAAAAACCATTTATTTTCTTAGTGATGTTAATTATATAAGGATGGATAAAAAAAAAAATCCAGGAAGCCAATTATGAACAATGTAAGCTCTTGGCCACAAAAACCTATCTCTGGGAAGGAAAAATGGAGACTATGAGATTTCCATTCTAGACAGAAATAGAGTTTAAAATAAGGTTGCTGAGTTTTCCCAGAAACACCATAACAAGGGATCATTTATGACACATCATTTTATCGATACCTGTGGCTGAAATCTTCAAGGCCCCATTCCAGACCAGGATGATGCGGTGGTGGGGTCGGCGGTACTTCACTCTCGGCCCAGCCGTCACTGGGAAGCAATAGGTCTATAAAACGAGGAACAGATGAAGCTGTAGTAAACCAGAGGGAGAAGAATCCAGAGCCTACTTTTGTTTCAGTCCATCCCTCACACATAAACAACTTAGAAATCAATAAGCCTTTCCCTGGAATGGAATATGTCACAGGAATGGTCCCTGGGGGAGATGACCTCTGCCTCCTAATGGATGTCTATGTGGGTGGACCCACTCATTGGCCACTACAGCAAATAAACCCACACATCTCTATGACCTTTCCTTACCTGGAAAAGCCTGGTGCTTATCCATATCCCTGATATGTGTGATACTCATAAAACATGTCTTTTATACCTTACTATTTTTAAAAGTGTGGCTCTATTATAAATACTCCAAATTATAATTTAGGCATTTACCTGAGTGGGGAAAAGTACTGAAGAAAATGTCTTGAGATGCGGGATACTGTTCAATGTTTAGACGAAGTAGGGGAGAAAAGATCCACGTTTTCTATCTGTACCATAGGGAGGCCTTGTAAGCAAAAGACTGGAGTCTGAATTTGGGTTTTCCTACTTGATAAAACAGGCTTCTTCTACAGGCTATTCAGGAGTGGAAAAATAGCATGTACCCTGATCATCACTATTACCAACAAGAAGTGGGTTCTGATGAAACACTGTGGATCAGACATTATTTTATGCTGTTCATTGTGAACATTCTTTCTTTTAATACAATAACAAAATTAAGTGTGGATGAGAACTGTAGAATATACCAGTTAGAACAAAGTTTTTTTTTTTGTGTGTGTGTGTATGTGTGTGTGTGTGTGTGTTTGTTTTGTTTGTTTGGTGGTGAGATTATGTTTTTCTACACTTGACTCCTGCTGTTCTGTGAATCGGGGACCATTACCCAACTTCTCTAAGCCTCAGATTTTAAATACATAAAATGATGTTATAAGTGCCTTCCCTGGGGTGGGGGATGTAGCTGAGTGGAAGGGCCTTTACCTCACATACACAAAATCCTGCTCCCATACCTGGCACCACAAAATACAATACAAAGACAACACGAAGACCTGGCATGATGGCACACACACATACTTTTGGGAGGCAGTGGCAGGAGTATCTCAGATAGTTCAAGGCCATCCTGGTCTACTTTGAAAGTCCAGAACAACCAGGACTATACAGAGTCTCTATCTTAAAAAACAACAACAACAACAAAAATCCAACCAACCAAACAATAACAATAAAAACAATGTTAAAGAACTGCCTGTAATGCAAGATGAAGCAGATTAAACCAAGCACCAAACATTTACACAGTGACTCCTACAAATAAAGTGCTACATTAACATATAAAAGGTTATCATTCCATAAAGGTAAATTCTACTGTTTATCTATTAAAGTGAGGTATTTGATAATTGTGGGCCTAACATGTTCCTGAAGGTGAGGATAAGAACAAACCTCTTCTGTTCTCCAGAACTGTGGGTGGCAAGAGCGCCTCGTTTGACCCATCTATCTGCCAGGTGTGATGGTCCCTGCATGTTAGTCTGTGAGTCTTGGAGCAGCTGTTCTGGGTGAGCTGACTGTCCAGTCAGTAAACCAGATCCTGCAGATTGTCATTTCTATGACATGTGACTCTTAAACAGTTTTTATTGAGGTTGGTTTGTTGCTTTATGTGTGTGGCATGCATGTATAACTGTGTATGATGTGCCTTGCTGATGTCTTCAGAGGTCAGATGGTGTTGGATCTCCTGGATAAAATTGTGGGTGGTTTTGAACTACCATATGGGCCTGAGACCCAAACCTGTATCTGATTCAATCATGGTAAGTGCTCTTAATTGTGGAATGATCTCTCCAGCCGTGGCAGGTGGTTCTTATGCCATCTTGAAGGCTGTGTAGAACAATGCCAGGCCTTCCCTGAATAGGAGAGAATTCCCCTTGCTTGGATATGTTCAAACCAGTTTCTGGTGTATTTTGCTTTGAACTGAAATATCAGCTCTTCTGGGTCCTCAGGCCTGCTGGGCTATAGATGAGAACCTTACCAACATACTTACTTGTTCTGGATGTTAGATTCCTCCTCTATGGAGGAGTTCTTCTGGGTCCCAGCTTATTGGTTCACCTGAAGATTGTGTGGTTTGTCAGTCTTCATAACCATGTTAGGTGATTCCTTTATCTATCTATCTATCTATCTATCTATCTATCTATCTATCTATCTATCTATCTATCTATCTATCATCTATTTATTTATTTATAAAAATTACTATTTGCTCTGGTTTTGTGGGAAACTCAACCAAATACACCCAGTGAAGAATTGCTCCAACTCTGCTCCAGGAAATATTCTGGAATGGAGGGGCTGGGGACATACTCCTAGGAAGCAGGAAACCTAGCCACTGGCTCTGGAGTAACAAAACAGGATAAGACAAGGTGACCAGCAGTGTTCTGTGGACTTCCACCACAGACAATGGTGGTGGCAGTCAGACAGAGAGAGACTTGCAGACACAAAGTGGAAAGTCTACCCCGTAAATAGGAACAGGGGCAGACTGAGTCCTCTCTTCTACTGGCCTGGATCTTTTTAGCTGCAATCTCAATCCATCCCCATGCAGGTGGTAAATATAGACACAATCCTCTATCTTATTAGTTCAAACTAAGTTCACAGAATAAAAGTCTAAGCCCTTAGCAGTGGACTTCATCTCCTACTTGGCCATGCAAGAACGCATGCTATGCCCTGACCACAGCCCTGGGCTCACCTCCCTCAGCTGCTAATGACTGGAACATCTGTCTTATCTGTAAGAGTCTTACCCTGTTTCCAAGGTTCCTTGAAATTTCACCTCCTCTATGAAGCCTTCACTGTCACCTCGGGTTCCAACTGCTTTTATGACAAGGGGATAATGTTTACTTGGCAAACATCTGTGTGCCATTTCCCAGCCCTCTGTGCCCCAGACTAGTTCTTGCAAATGGGATGTAAGTTGCTATGGTGAAATGCCATTGCCTGTCTCAGAAGTTCTGAGTGTATGTCTGCTGTCCTCCCCTGCCCTAAGCTTGTGATATGTTATAAGAATGAGCCTCTATATGGGCCTTAATCATCAAGCTGCCATGTTCCATGATGTCTGTTTTTACCCACTAACATTTAGATTTATGTATGAATAACATAAAATAAGTCCTTTATCACATCTATCACATTCTGTTTTGGGGGAGACAGCTATTTATTGGCCTATCAAGCTGTAGTCTATTGATCAACATTTTTCTAACTAGACTGATGGTAATTTCTTGTCTTTTCCTTTGTCACTTCTGAAGCCTCGTGTCCTTTAGAGCCTTCTAATGGCAGTTACTTTAACTTTTATTGTATTCTTAGGTCCCAGCTGTTTTTCTTAGCATATTCAGCAGAGCAGAGGCAAATATCACATTGGTTGACTCTGAATGCAACATACTCAGGCCTTGTGGACTTTTGTTCTCTTGAGCCTGACACCATTGTTAAGCTTTGTATCGAGAATATGAGTGTAGAATTCTAATCTCATACCAATAATATTTCTGAATTTTATTGACTGTATGAGGTGCCTTCCTAATACACACACACACAGCTGTGAATATTGACAATGTTTCTTTTTGTCACTAAGTTATTGTTGGCTAAATGACCTTCTTTAATTATCAGATTTTGTGTTTTGTTTTGTAGGATCCATAGAGTGAAGAACAGTTGAGAGATGGATAGGTGAAATTATGGCTTTAAATAAGGTAAGAAAAAAATATGTCCCTGGTCTGAAATTAGCTCACAATTTGGCCTTTAAGTAAAATTTTGTTGAAAATAGCCGTACCTTTTCGTTTGTGCACTGAAACAATAGTTGTTTTTGTGCTACAATGGTTTTGCACAGTGGCCAGGTGTAGAGCTTGATGATCCTGCCTTAGACTCTTTTCTTTTTTAAATTTATTGATTTGATTTTGTGTGCATTTATGTCTGTGCTCTACGAGGACAGAAGAGGGTTCAGATCCCCTGGAAATGTAGGTACCGACAGTTGTAACGTGTTATGTAGATGCCGGGAATCGAGACTAGGTCCTCTGGAAGAGCGGCCAAAGATCTTAATGGCTGAACCATCCCTCCAGGCCCAATTTTGGAGTCTTCTTGAGGGCAATAATAGTGTTGCAGCATTGCACATGCCTCTGCTTTCCTGATAGTATTTGACACCAAAATTTCTATCAGTCAACAGTAGTCAAACTGAGAAGGAGAATTCAATTTCTGGTCAACATTGCAGAGTGCCTCCTGCTACAAAGTGATGGACCCACTTTGGCTCCTACAAAGATAAACATTAGGAGAATTTCATTGTTTCTCCAGAACCTTCCAGGAACTATGGATGCAGTGGGACACGGCACATAATGGAAATGTCTGATTTGAGGTAAAGAAGAAAGACCCAACTCCGTGGATGAATAAAAGGATTTAGACAATGTGTGACTAGATGTCACCTGAGGTAAAGGGTGCAAAGGTGAGGAGAGCAAGAAGAGAGAGATCACAACTAGAGGCAGACTGTACTGAGGCTCCGTCCATCAGGAAAAGTCTTCAGGAAACACAGTGTTGGTGTACCTTATGGCTATTCAGATGCCTAACTAGCTTGCAGAAAGCCCCAGGGACACACCCCAGGGGCACAGCCTCCAGGCTTGTTGCTTGCTGTCCTGTAACACCACACTTCTTCCACAGGAGGCTCAGCTAACAATCTTACAACATGAATGTGAATTTTCTGGCGTTATAATTTCACGAATGTTATTCTAACAATTCCTTTTGTGTGTAACAGCTTGAAGGAAAAATAAAATAAAATACTGATCACACTGTGGGTGGTTTGTACTATTATTATAAAAGTAGATGGAACACAGAATATCAACACTGGAGTCTTAAACATACGAAGAAAAGAAAAAGGGGAAAGAGGAAAATTAATGTTTTGCCTGCCCCAGCTTCTCTCCTCCCTAGAAATTACATTTTGTCAAATTAATCTTGTTCTGCTCAAAGAGGCCCTTAAAAGTCAGTTGTGATGAGGCCACTACTACAGGTCAAAGGTCCTCTTGGCGTGTAGCACCTCTGCTGTCTAGGAAACTCGGGGCTTCTTGGAATTTCTCAAAGTGCAAAATGTTAAGACTTGAAGTGAGGCAATGGACTTAATGAAAGAAGCATGGTGCTACTTTAATTCTACTATGTTCATGAAAATCTCTAAGTCAGTCGGCTTACGTGAAGAGTAAGCCTAAAGGCCAGCCCCTAGCTGAAAGTGCAATTGGCCATGCTATGAGAAGCCGAATTTTGGCTATCTGGTGATGTAGTACAAACACAAAGGGACCTAACAATAGACAGGCTTTTTACTTTCTTTGAGCAAACAGTGGTTAGTTGTCTAAGAGGCTTAAGAGTGAGCCTCTGGGATCTAGCCTCTTCTCCCTCCATTATTGTCTTGGAGTACCACACTGCTCCAGAGTGGGCATTACCGATAAATTTCTAGCACAGATGGGCAAGGTCTTGAAAGAGCTGTAAAGTCAGCGTTGGAAATGAAGCAGGATCCTGGCATGTTGCTGCTTGGTGGGATTTTTGGTTTGGTTGTTGTTATTGTTGATATCTTTTCACTGGAATGAAAACTTCTCTATCCAAATCTGTTTTAGATTTTGGTCCCTTGTGCTCCAAGGACTCGCTTTTTCAATGCAGATACAAAACATAAAGTTCTAAGGGTGCTTCTATGTTCTGCAGAAAAATTCTGTTCCTTCCATGCTTTGTTGATAGTGCACTGAAAGTCTAAGAACTGTCAAGAACACACAATTTACTTAAGGGAAGCCAATATGCACTGAGTAATTCTTTTTATCTGCTTACGAGGGAAAGTCAGCATTTCATAGGCCTTCTTAGAAGTAGTAGAAGGACTTCAATGGTTTCTAGGACCCAGTACAAGGCAGGCCCTTTGCTGTGGGTGAGATGAGCCAGGGACAGGAATCGAATCCAAGCTCTAGGTATATCAAGTATGCATAATCTTAGGTAAATTGTTTATTCTCCCAGGCCTTCTATTTCATCACCTGTAAAATGAGGCTAATTATACGATCCACTTTGAATTTGAATGTAAATTGCTTAACATGGTAGCTAACAAACAAGAAATACTTAAAATGAAAAATTTTCAGAGGAATCCCTGTCCTTAACATCTTATTCAGATGAAATAGTTTAATGTTCAAGAAATCTCAGGTTTCCGTTTGGGGGTTCTTCCTGCGTTATTATGGTTTGGAGACACCTTAAATGTCTAAAGTACAGAGTTGATGGTATAATGCGTATTACCTCCACTAAACAGAAGACCATGCCACCTCTGCAAACCAGACTATCGAATATCAGGGATACATAAGACGTTCATTATGTGTTATCAAATGAGAAAAAAAATCTTAGAAATTACCTATAGTACATTTTATTTTATGTATACAGATTTGCATGAAGAGAGGACTTGAAAGACCTACATAAAATGTTATTGATTAGGAGCTATGATAGATAGAGGGATGAGTAATATTAAATTTTCTTTTTAATGCTTTCCTCTAAAATTTCTACAATGAATATGTATGTATTGCTTTTGCAATATAAAAAGTAAAAGCTATTAAAGAAAGGAGATGCAGGGAGATAAAACAAGTTTCTTGGTGACCTGGAGTGTAAGCTTCAAAGAACAATGGAGAAAACCCAGGAGTCTACTTGAAATGTGATCCATTCCAGTAATAAGAGAGCGTGCTATACAACAATGAGAACAGTCCAGCTGCCATGTCGACGGCCCCAAGCTGTGCTGTTCCACTATTTATCACATTCATCGTAGGACCAAGCACAAAGCTTGGAGTCACATCATGGCCATTTTGTGGTTTCATGTAAATCCATGAGATTTTTAAAGTGACTTGGTAACTTCCAATGATTAAAAAGATCTTCAAAAACCTCACAGTTTGCCATCTTTGATTCTGTAGTCGTGGTTTGTTTTATATAAAATCCTCATGTTTGGGGCAGCAAGCACAGAAACTGTCACTTAAACTGGAGGCCTTGCCAGGAATCTGATTCACAAGTTCTGACTCAGCGCTCTCACCCACCCTCAGAGCTCATGGCTCTGAGTGACAAAGTCTGCACTTTGCCTAATTAACTTTTTCTTTGTCCCTGATACTTTTTCCTCCTTCTCAGCGAAAGCCTTTTTTTTTTTTTTCGTAGTTTTGTGTATTAATTGAAGAGAATGGAAATGGACAGAGTTTACCTTTCCTTTTATCTCGTGGACTGTAGGTGCCAAACGGATATAGTATACTGCCATCATTTCGCCTGGAGGTGTTCAGAGCTTCTTGACAGTTGTCAAAGCATGGTCTGGAAAGGGCCCTGCATTCCGGGAGCTCCTAAGGGACAGAAACAAAAAGTGACATTTTAAAACTACATTCCAACTCGGACATGTATATCTTCAATAGCGGAAAATAAAAATGTCCCCAGCAGTTCAAACATCCTTCAGTACAAAATAGACAGCACGGACAATGTAGTGTTAAGGATTATGAGTGCTGATAGCCAACACAAAAAGAGGATTTACTTTATTATTCTTTCCCTCGCTTACAACTGCCTTCTTTCAAATTTTCTTCCATCTGGGAGTACAGCTTGTGGCAGTGTCAATATGAGAATACAGTTCATGCCAAGGGTGTTTCTCTGCCAACCAGCTGGTTCCTCTCTCCCTCTGCCACTCTCTTTCCCTCAGCTAAGTGCATATGCTCTAGGACAAGTCAGAACCCAAGCACTATTTGTCACCAGAATGCCATGGTTGTGTCCCACAGTGGACCCCAGGCCTTTGGCCAGATGCTAAAGTAAATGGCTGTGACAGGGTCGGACAGTGGTTCTCTCTGGAGTCTTTTTTTTTTTTTCCTTCTGCATTTCTCTTTCCTGTTTGGATTCTGACATTCTGTAAACAAATTCACAGTTTTCTGTGAACTGCTGTATCCAGAATAACACCCCCCACACACACCACCCTCCCCAGGTGCTGAGGAGGTAACAGGAGGCAGGCCCGTGACAGTAACTCAGTTACGATTTCAAGCGAATTGTGGCATAGCGAGCTGTCTGGTGCTCTTGTTCCTATTATTTGTCTCCCTAACAGATTTCAGGGAAACAAATGATTTGGAAGTCATTCCATCGCTCTTTCCTTGGCCATTTGTGAGAGGCACATGTCACAAACACAGATCTACTCCCCAGCTCCCTCCTCCAGGAAAGCATTTGGCTGAGACAATGCGTTTGATTTTACTTTTTCTTCTTTAGTTACAAAAAAAAAAAAAAAACCCTCAGTATCTAGCTAAACAAAATATTTGAAGCATTCACTTCTATTCTGTATGCTAAATAATTAAAATGTGTTCAGCTGCAGAGGGCTATTGGCTTCTTGTGGCAGGTTCTAGCAGTTTTCTCACACTTAGCATGTTGCCCTTGGCTGCAGTACTGCCAGTCCAACCAAAACAGGTATGAGAGACCAGTGACTCTTACGTTAAAGCTGGAGTCCCCGGTGGGCAGGAGAGGTAGGACTCGCCTTGCATTGCCTTGTGTTTTCACTTAACAATAACAACAAGAACAAAAACAAATTTTTTTCTGCTTTCCTAGCTCTTTGATAAATGACACAATCAATATCCCAACAACTGATCAGTAACCGGCCTAATTAAAGCACCCAGCCTGTAAAATAGAGCTGTCGTGGAGGCCTCCATTAGTGTCCCAGCCAATAAAAAATATAATGGATTTTTAAACATGTTCTGCCTCTGTGAAGATGAGCTGCAGAGGAGAGGAAAATGTTTTGGGAAAGGGGAAAACAAAACCAGGTCATAACCCATTTTTTTAAATACCAAGTCTCTAGGCGCAAACCGAATCACGATTCAACCTGAAACTCATCCTTTGAAAAACATGCTTCTGTTCAAAATGATTCTGATTCACTCACGGGCTCATTATGTATTCTTCCTGAGGTTCTCATCAAAACTGTTTACCTATCTTGTGCAACTGGGTAATATGGGGGAAAAAAACCCAACAACTTTATATTTTGACTTTTCTTAAGTAGCATCTTCATTTCTTTTCAATATCAGCCTAATGTTCCAGCAATTATGTTGGCATTCTTGCCAAAGCTAACTAATTGATTTGCCCTGATGTCTGAGCAGTGCACAGACCTCCTCTGGGTTATGGATGCTTTTCTATGGACCAGAGGGTACTTGCTACTCTGTGGGAGAATAGATGGAAAAGCAGGTGTGCACAGTCTATGCCGACACAGTGTAGCAGAGTCGGGAGATCAGAGAGCTGATTTTTTTTTAATTTAATAAAGATAAGCTGTACATTAGGCTTCTGTCTTTATGAGGAATAATGCTCTTTAATCTTCATGGCTACCACAAAGATTCTCAATTGCTGAGTCAAGTGCCTGCTCATTCCCCATGGAAAGCATGTAAATATTAGGGAAAGAAAATGGATCTTGTTTAAATGTCCTCATAAAAATGGCTGTTTCTAACAGTTCCTATTCCTGATCAATTCCCTGGTGAACAATATGAACGAGACACACATGAGGATGGGTAATGAAAGGTAACACTTTCTTCTGCTGGGATAATGCCAGCCCCATTCCACTCCAGATTGTGGAAGGAAAGATGAAAATACCTCACTAAAGAAAAAGCCTGACAGCAAGCTACCCCTCGTCCCTGAGCTGGAACATTACATCTATCTACTGCCATTCACATGTGTTTTCGACTGAGATATGGAATGAGGAAAAATAAACACATCTCTATGTCTATTAGATCCATACACGTTCTTGTCTCTTTTTGTTTAGGCTTTTGGCCTCTGCATGAACATGGCACCCTAGAGCATTTCCCATTCTTTTCTCTTAGTTGAAGTATCTTTGTTAAAGGAAATAAATTAAAGGTAGCTATAATATGCAGATATATAAGAAGATACGACTGAGACCTTCCCTATGATGTCCTTCACATCACTTTCCACTAAGTGGGTTCCTTGCATCTCAGGACTCTATAGGAAGGACCAAATTGCACCAGACAGAGCCTCTTCTCTTTAGGAATCAGTAGAACGGGGCACTCAAACTATGTACATAGTAAGTGAAGCCCATTAAATATTCATGAAGACTCTGTCACTTAAGCAGATGCACTTGTGGAAAACAAGCTCATTCATTATATATAGTCTCCAGTAATTGGCCAATTTACATTTATTTAACATCTACAAGGTTATGTACAAAAGAGCATAAAAGGTACAGTTACTCTTTACCAATAGCTGATAATACAGCAAAGGAAAATGGTCTATCATTTCACCACTCAAGACCCCATCTTTCGGATGAAGTAGGTTTCATATGCAGCTTTTCATTCATTTAGCAACATTTTTTGGGAGCCTATCACATTCAGAGAAATGAGATTCAAATAGTGGATAAAACAGGTACTTCTGTCTGTCTTCTACACATTCAGCACTCACATTAGCTGCGTATTTTCACTGTCAGGAAACAGCAAATTGAGGATTTTTACTCAAGTAATCCATATACAATACAAGGAGTCCCACTGACCTATATTTCCTTTTGGTGCTCTTTCAGTTTTAAATTTTGGTTGAACTTACTACTGAAACTAATGTTTGCTATTGTTTTTCTAAGTAGTATATACTCTTACTTTATATGCAGCTCCAGTACAGAAACACATCTTGGCCTCAGAGACTATCCTAATATGATGATGCATGGTGTGCTGATATTTTTGTTTATTTTTATGAACTTACTCTTTTTCCATTTAGGAATATTTAACACTTAATCCTTCACATGTAATATAAAATATTGTTTTAACACCAGCTTTCTTTAGTTTTGTGTAAAGGGAATGCCCAGTTATGTCAGTACTTAAGAATTATTTTATACTCAAGGTTCATATGTCACTTTCCCAACATTTAAAAATTATGATCAAATATTTAAAAAGAAATAGGACTTCTATTTATTTAATAAAATGAAGTGTGCAGTTTGCTTAAAAGATCAAACTTTAATTTAGCTACATCTCAGGCTTGTATTATATAAGTGTAGTTTATAGGGGAGGAATATAGAATTTGAATATCTCATTATAATCTTCACATTAAACACTATATATATTCATCCAATCAGAATCCTTCTAAGGTATATGCCTTGATAATAGACCACCAAAATTATACTAAAATAGTTTTAAGAAGTCCAGAACCCTAAGGATTTTTTAGTATAATCCCTTGTAAACACAGACCTGTGATATTTGATAAATGCTTTACTTTATATGCATATTTTCATCGTATTTAAAATATACAACCATTTGTTTCTTTCATATATCCACCAGTCTGTCTGGGGCGTATTTTCCCAAGTACAGACTCAACAAATGTCAATCTACCACATGTGTGATGGAATCAGCATATTCTGGTGGCCATTTGAGCAATGTTCAGGAAAGTCAAGAATAGAATCACCTCCAGTGGTCTTTCTGTCCTCCTCAGAATCACCAACTGGATCATGCCCCGGATGTTTCCCTCCATGGACATGGACCTCCTCAGTGTTTCCATGGCTTCGTGGTTGGACTTTCCCAGGAGGGCTTCCCCGTTAACAGCAATCAGTTGGTCATTCATTCGCAGTCGGCCATCCTGAGACAGAGGGGAGAAAACAGTGTGAGACCGGAAAGCATGGTGAGGACATGGTGATTGGAGAAAAGTTCAAGTATGAAGATGAGAGATTTGGAAGTGTATACTTCAGCTCTCAGGGATGATATATTTTCAATGGCCGGAAGAGGTTCTGGAGCTTTTCAAGCAGTCACAAATTCTAACAACAGTGTGTGTGTTACTACTAACAATCTGTGTGAAAGGAATTATTTTTAGAAGGCTTAGAGTCCAGAGCTGCACTAATTTAAACGTTTGTGATGTTTGTTCCTCTTGTCTTTATCTGGCAAGCATATGAATGTAGCACACCTCTGCCATTTGCTCTAGCAAAGACAGTTAGGGTTCAGAGAACAGAGGTTAAGAAACAAAGGCGGTAGCCATCTCTCCAAAGCAGGTTGTTCCAGGCTTGGAGAGACATGCTTAAAAGTTATGTACTTGAAAGCATAACGTGTTTCCTAATATCACTGCTAGCTTTATTGGATGGAACAAACAAATTCCTTGCATAATTTTCTCCAACTCAAGCACAACACTGCTCATCAGCCAGTCTTCAGAAGAACACAGATGTGTGTGGGAAGCACCAATTTACCCTAATACCTCTAGCAGCAAAGCTTGACAAAGGGAATTGTCAAGCTATTTCCTGGGATGTTCAGGCTAATAAATACTTGCATACAGCATCTCCTAGAAGAAACACCATTTGTTACTAGGCACCAGGGACCCTGATGTGTGGAGGGTCAGCCTGACTCCTCTTTCCATCATGCAAGGCAATGCACTCAGAAACCATCTTCAGCCAGAAGCCTCCCATAGGCTGGCATTCTAACATTTGCTGATAAACTGGAAGACCACCTCTTCAGGAACACAATTAGGGCAGACAACTTGGGAAGACTGAGGGAGAACAGGGCTTCAGGTGCTGGTGACTGGGGACTCTCCTATGCTACTTGACACTCAGGAAGCCACAAGGTTCAGATACAATTAGTAATCCTGTCCTGATGCTGCCGTCAATGCATTCAACAGAAACAGGAGTAGGTACGCATACTACTGTACTTTTCCAGAGACTTCTTTCATTAAGTATTTTCTGGGATGCTCACAGACTCAACAAGTTACAGAGATAAATGTTTCTGTAAAATTTCCCACAAAAATAATCAGAATCCGGGAAGTATAACTAGCCTAGGGTCATAATAGCATGGTGTCAGATGAGACTCACTCAGGATTTGAGCCCTTCAGTCCCTCTCTCCCCATAGCCTACCTTCTCTAAGTTATCGCTGTGCCTTGACTAAATAAATGTAAAAGAATTCTAGCAGAAAGAAGTATCTGGGAAAGAAGTTCAAATGAGCAGAATGAAATGCCAAAGTGAGAATAACAAAAACAAAACCTCCCTGAGAAATGATCAAAACAGACACAGTGAAGATTGGAAGCCAGCCTTTGAGCCTCAGAGAGAAACCCATGGGCTAGCTGATAGCCTTTGATTAATACAAGGGCAGGTGGTCAGAGGAATTGTTCCCTAACGAACACAGAAGAGAAGGGGTGAGAGCCGTTGGTCCAGAGGGCATGTGGAGATGTGATGCCCTACACATTACCTGGTGGATGGGTTCTTGGCCACACAGGATTGAACAGGCCACTCAAAGGAGCATATGCTCACTTGAGAAGGGCATTGAGAATGGCAAAGCAATGGGATCAATAGAGAGCGTGCAAAATCAGATACAAACTGTCTGTCCAGAGGCCCGCCTGCCTCATGGGAACTTAATGCCTCCTCCCTCTGGCTTTGGAACTTCACTTAACCTTTACCCTAATTTACCAAGAAAGAAATCTCTCTTCTCCTATCCAATTGTGAATCGGGCTCATAGAAGAATGGGATTAAGCCTCCGTGAAACGGTAGAAGTGAGTAAAACAAGCACAGCCTTAATGGTTTAGTCACATGAAATGAAGCACAGCTGGATCCATTCCAATTTGTCATACGATGGGAGGAGGACCACTGGGGTGAATCTTGTCACTGAAATTCTCCTGATGTGGCTGGAAGCTGATGTGCAAATTTTAAAGATGAGGAGAGAGAAGAGCGGGACAGGGATACTGGCTCTGTTAGCAGGAAACGAGACAGCATTAAGATCTGTAGAGGTCTGTCAGCTGGAAGGGCACCTCGGCAGGAAGAGAAACAATAAAAACCAAAGGAATTTGAGAGAGAATTCAATGATGGCAAAGATGTGAGAAGAAAGCAGTTGTATATAAAAGCATGTGCCAATTGCACCCCAGGTTTCAGCCATTTATAATACGTCCAAGTAGGATATGTTTACTATAGCGAGGTCCAAAACAAAAAGACAGGTCAGGTGACCCACTGGATTTTTTTTTCCCCTGAGACATTCACATTTATCTCATGTCACTAGAGAGCTGTGGGCACAATAAAAATCCACGCACTCTCGTTTGCTGGAGTGCCTGTCCTGTTGCTATTGGTGTGTGCTTCTTGCTCATAAGATAAATGATGAGTAATTTCATTAATGGTAATACCAGGAAGACAATATTGTCTTAACATTTAGAACACCATCATGGAGCTTTGAGCTTAGAAAGGTCCTCAGAGGTCATCTTGTCCAACCCCTTCCATTTACAGATGAATGATATAATGCTCCAAGAAGACATCATTTATCTAACACCTATTAGGAGAAGGCACTTCCGTATCTATTAGGACTGGCTCAGCTGGTTAAGATCAAAGTTGGAAAAGAACAGAACAGTCCTAGCTCTGAATACACTGGAATGTGCTAGTTATGTGGAAAATAGTGATTGATCCCCACAAGAGTCCTGCTTCAAGAGAAGACGCTCAAAGCCAGGGAAGACAATGTGGTCTGCTGAAAGAGGGAGGAACGGAAATCTAGGGACATATACAGAATGCATGGACACAGCAAGGTTTAAGAGATGCGTAAGCATGGGAGCAAACTGGAGGAAGAGGAAAAATCTGTCCTCTAACTACAAGTGCCCTACTTAGATATCATTTAACACAAAATTGCTTGAACGAAGAACTCACTGCTCAAATCCAAATGTATCCCTCAAAATCATGCATATCTTTTCACTTTTAAGTAATTTCACCAAATAAATTAGTTTTATCTAATATTTTCCTATATATGTGTCTATTAATTAATATTTCTATCAATTTCTATTAACCTTATGTTCAGATAGGTATTTGGGCATCAGAGTAAAAACCCATGACTTTATAAAAGTGAGTACAAATATCCAAGGATGCTACTTGGGGATTTTAGGATACTTACTTCATCACAATCTGGGCCATGCTTGCACTTTTCAAAGAAATAAATCTTGGGTTTGCAAGATGGCTCAGAGAGTAAAGGCACTTCCCATGTAAGCCTGATGACATGAGTTCGGTTCCCGGAACCCACATAAAGGTGGAAGAAGAGAACTAACTCCTCAAAGCTATCCTCTGGCCTCCACATGTGTGTCATGACATATGTGCTTACACATATGTAGGACTCATGTATACATGTGCTTATAGTAACAATAATAAAATCATTTAAAAGACAGAAAAAAAACCCTTTTTTTTCCTATCTTACTATCAGCAGAACCTTAAACAACAATGTTGAAAAGAGGGGAAAATAATGATAGTAAAAACAAACAGTGACTTCCTAAGGATACGTTAACGGGGACATGAAAAACGTATATGAGATATAAGTCTCTCTCTTGCCTGAGCCTGGAATGGCTTAGAAAGTTATCAGCCCTAACCACTTATCATAAAAGAAGGGATCAAGGGCTCAGTGAGCTGATGCATAGTATTACGTTTCTCTTCTGTAGAATATCTGTGGAAGCATTTTACGTGAATTCTTCCAATCAATTCTTCCGATGACCTTGGGATATAAATATTACTTCCTACTACATAAGGATGTACAGGCAGAGGATCAGTCTCATTAATTGATTTCAGAAGGGTCTTAGCATAGCCAGCCCTTCTAAGCTCCCCTCTCTTTCTGTTTTGAGATAAGGTCTCAGTTTGTAGAACAGGCTGACTTGAGCCTCACTATGTAACCCAGGCTAGCCTCACATTCACAGCAATCCTTCTGCCTCATCCTTCCAGTGATGGGGATATGTGTGAGCTCCTGTGATACAATTTTGATTCCAAAGTCACATTTCTAGAAATGATTAAGGGCACTAAAATATTAATAAAACTTAATAAGTTTCTACTGTGTAGTCATTATGCTTAAACTCTCTCAATGCATGAGGTAATTGAAACCTTACAATAACACTATTTTTTTTTTTTTTTTGAGGTTGAGAGGAGCTGGATGCATTGTTGGTTGTCATGTTCTGTGAGTAGATCTGAGCCAGGTCTGGGTCACTCTCGAGTCTTGTTTCCAGCCACTTTGCTAATAATCCTTAAGCTATATGGGTTCTTGGACCTCTCTGAGAACCTAATAAAAGTTACAGATCCTAGTCTCTTCAAAGCAAATGTCTGCACCAGAGTTTCTCCACTGTTGCACATTTGGACTAGATAATTCTTCGTAATGAGGCACCGTCATGTGTGCTGCATGATATTTCGGGTGCCTCCCGCAGCACTGCACTGACTTCCAGGGGACCCTGTGACCTCCTAGCTCAGCTCCTGGTACTCAACTCTTGACCACTTCCTCTGTTCCGAACTGATGACGTTGTACAGCCCAGTGTACTCCTGTTGGTCTGTTTTTATAAAACTCCTCTACGGAAAACTGTAGGGGTGCAAAGGACAGACTAAGAAAGCCTAGGCAAAGAGCGGGGCTCTGCAGATTCTGGGAGAGCTGGCTTTCCCAGGGAGAGTTGGCTGGGGCCCAAGGCCAATCCACGTTAGTCCAGGGTGTTGAGAGGATTAATCATGACCAGATGTTAGCTCCTGCCTCTGCTTGTTTCTAACAGGACCCTTGGTAAGGCCTCCTGGGATATTATCAACACCCACGACCCAAGCCCCAAAGTCAGACTTCACAGCATACATTCCCTGGAGCAGCAGACACTCCAGGCAAGGTGGGCACCTGATTATT